GGCGCTGCTGGGGCAGACCAGAGCGTGGGTTAGGGCTTCAAGCTTCTGAGGCCATGATGCTTCTTCCATTATTGATTTGCAGTCCAACAAATTACAGCATCACAAGAAATGATAAGAGAATCAGAGATGGAGAATGGAGATATCGTCGCCTGAGAGGCCCACGGGAAAGGAGCACCGTGTATTTGGGCCTATGGCCCTTTTGCTTTTGGGCCAATGGAGTTGGGCTTAGTGGCTTAGCTTCGGATCGACTGGCCTTGGGCTTTCACAATTCTGGATCCAGAAAGAGGAAGAGGGTGCCCAAAAAGGGGACAAAAAGAATGCTCCATGTTTAAAAATTTTCAATTAATTCAATTTAGTCCACCGTATTTTAATAATTTATAATCACTATTAAAATTGGCCGATAATGAACTTAGACTCATGTAAGAGATCATTTAGAGGAATTTAAAAAATTTCAAAGGAGGAATGAGATCATTTTAAGTGTATAGAGTTTCTAATTAATATATATATATATATATATATATATATATATATATATATATATATATATATTTAATTATACTTTTTTTTTTGTGAGAAATTATGCTCTTGCCATTTAAATTATTGTCCATTCACTAAGTATCATGCAATATATGTTTGTCATAATGATGATGGTGTAGTTTAAAAATGTTAAAATATAAAAGTCTACACTAAAATGTTTAAATTTAAAAATCATCAAAATATTAACAACTCAAACATATACTTAACAAGAAAAAATATTACAATAGAAACTATGTTTTTTCTAAATATGGGTTAATTTTTTTTTACCCCGTGAACTTTTACATTAATTCCATTTCAGTTTTTTTTTCTTCTTTGCTTTTGAAATGTTTTATTTTGTATATGAACTTTTATTTTGGCACATAATAACTTTAGGCCATCTAAATTAAATAATGCTTTATATAAATTTAGATCAATCTTAATCTCTAACGATCATATGTGGTAAGAAATAAGTACCAACTATTTTTTATGACATGTTTGAAGAAATAAAGTCTCTTTATTTTCAGAATTAAGAGTAAAATTTTTAAAAGATGTAGACAAACTATCTTTATCTAAGAAAATTGATACTGGATAGGGCGTTAATAAAAAAAAAAAAAATCATTCTCATAAACATAGATAAGTCATCATTATTTAATCAATATTGATCTATATGTTTAAGAGATTGAAAATAGTCTTTTAAGTCACAATCACAATTATAGCTAATCTATTGTTCTTTGGCTTCTTTGAAAGTGTGGTTTAGAAACAACTTATGAAATTTATGGTGAAGAATTAATTAGTTTACAATATTTAACTATGTTACTATAGGTCGAACCATTTTCCTAGAAATCTGCATGTTATATCACTTAGGCAGTTAGATGGTAGTCTCATAACACTTTTTTTAGATTATAAATAATGGACAAGTGGTGATTTAAACATCTGACGATGAAAAAAATTATTTTATGTCTTGAACTAATTGAGCTAGGTTCAAATTAACATAATCTTATATTATAGTTAAGAAAAACATATTCTTATAAGTCTTATACGGGTAAATACTATCTAGATTTTATATAAATTGTTTTCATATTTCAAAGGTCAAATATCATCAACTTAAGCAGCTAACTAAAAATTGAGGTTTAAATTTTCACTCCTCGTCCAATTAAAAAAATAAAAGGTCGAAATTCATATAATAATATGAGTTTATGAAACTCTCTCCCATCTTTACTAAATATTCTAAAAAGTTCTCTTTTATTTATTTATTTTTTCTCTCAAGAAAGATAGCCAAATATGATAAATCTTAACAAAACCTCGAAACTAATCTTTGAATTATGCATAGTATTGTAGGGAAAAATCGAGCCGCCACAAATATATAGGGATGGTCTAGGCCAGCTTCATTAGGTCTTCCCACAAAAGGCAAGCCAATCACAAGTTGGAACTCACCAACACATTCTGCCATCAGTGCACTCAAACAACAGGATTGAGTGTGAGCAGTCAACGCCCTGCGTCACTATGTTGGCTGTTCCGTGATGAAAGACAGGAATCTCGAGCCCACCTACCAAATTCCACTGCCAGCAACAACCTATAAAAGGACAAAGATTATAGCAGTTTAGTATGTTCGAATCCTTTCACTCCACTATTACCCTTGATATCATAGTGCTCGCCTCTATTTTGCACGAAAGGAAGGGATAAACCATGCTGCTTGTGCCACCAAATCTGTGCTTGAAAGTCACGTTTACTCCCTCTTGTAAATTTGTAGCTTTTGAAATAACTAATGCCAACTTTAGCTGGTAAAAGTGGGTAGTAAATCATTGGTTAAAATACTAGTTTGGTCCCTATACTTGCTTTAGTTCATTTTAGTCCTTATATTTTAAAAATGTTTGTTTTGGTCCATGTACTCTATGTTTTAATTCATTTTAGTCCCTATACTTTGAGAATGTTTATTTTAGTCTCTATACTCTTAAAAAGTGACTATTTTGATCCCTTCATTTTATTTTAAATCTCATTTTTTCTCATCACAATTTCAACACCACATTATAATCAATATATTTTTACAATGTAACCATTATTTTATACTAAATAGTTTATGTTATTGGCAAAGATTGACTAAAATAGTCACTTTTTAAAAGTACAGGAATCAAAATGAACATTTTAAAAGTATAAGGATTAAAATAAACCGAAACTAAAAGTACGAGACAAAATAGTATTTTAATATAAATTATAATAATACAATTTTTTTTGTTAACCTTTTGTCAGTACATCAATATTTGGAAATTAAAAAGGAAAAGAGAAAGAATTATGAAACTTAATTTAAACCAAAAGCAAATACAAAAATTGAAGGGATAAAATCAATAATTCTAGAAATGAAGAAATTTTATTATGACCCACATGGTTTCAAATTAAATCTTAGAATTCCATCTGGAAGCTTCCACAGCCTTCTCGACCTCTGCAGTTCTTCCAGACCCATCTTTCTCCATCCCTTTTCTATGCAACCCAACGCCTCTCCACCACGCCCCAATTTTCTCAACGTCAATTAATCTCCTACCAGATCCCAATTCCAGCTTCAAATTTTTGCAGATTCAGAACATCAACAACAAGGTTTTGATTCGATTCACATGGGTGTAGATTATTACAAGATTTTGCAGGTAGATAAGAATGCCAAAGACGATGATTTGAAGAAGGCTTACAGGAAACTTGCCATGAAATGGCATCCTGATAAGAATCCCAACAATAAGAAAGAGGCCGAGTCCAAATTCAAACAGATCTCTGAAGCTTATGAGGTAAAAATCCTACCCCGATTCGATCTATCTATCCATCTTTCTTCCGAGTTAGTAACTTCTGCGGTGCTTCTCTTTTCCATTTTTATCGGTTTTATTTTGATCGCGGTCAAATTCATTCGATTCCGAAGATTCTGCGTCGATCGATAGGGCTCCCTCCGTGTATTTCAGGAATTGCTAATACTTCCGATTGTCGTTTCGAGTACTGAAATGGATGTCTGTTGAATTGTGGCAGGTTTTGAGTGATCCGCAGAAGAGAGCAGTCTACGATCAATATGGCGAAGAGGGCCTGAAAGGTCAGGTGCCTCCTCCGGGAGCCGGAGGTCCCGGCGGTGCGTCGTTCTTCCAAACTGGGGATGGCCCAACGATGTTCAGATTCAACCCTAGAAATGCCAACGACATTTTCACAGAGTTCTTTGGATTTTCGAGCCCATTTGGAGGAATGGGTGGCGGTGGAAGCGGCATGAGGGGCGGTTCGAGGCCATTTGGTGGCAGCATGTTTGGTGATGATATGTTCGCTTCATTCGGTGACAGCCAGCCCATGAGCCAAGGTCCACGAAGAGCTGCTCCAATTGAAAGGAGGCTGCCCTGTAGCCTTGAAGAACTCTACAAAGGCACCACTAAGAAGATGAAAATCTCCAGGGAAATAGCCGACGCTAGTGGGTAAGTTCTTCTTCACCAACCAGAACCACCATGATTTTGCTCGGTCTTTCCATGGTTTGAGAAGATGCAACTTTGAAATAACCCCTGGTTTCATGTTACCTGCTGCAGGAAGACATTGCCTGTGGAAGAAATTCTAACAATAGAAATCAAGCCAGGTTGGAAAAAGGGCACAAAAATAACGTTCCCAGAGAAGGGAAATGAGCAACCGAACGTGATTCCGGCAGACCTGATTTTCATTGTAGATGAGAAGCCACACAGCACATTCACAAGGGATGGAAATGATTTAGTGGTCACAAAGAAAATCTCTCTTGTTGAAGCTCTAACGGGTTACACAGCCCATGTCACCACACTTGATGGAAGGAGCCTGACCATCCCCATTAACAATGTGATTCATCCAGACCATGTGGAGGTTGTTCCAAAGGAGGGGATGCCATTTCCAAAGGAACCCTCCAGAAGGGGCAACTTGAAGATCAAGTTCGACATCAAATTCCCCACAAACTTGACTTCAGAGCAGAAATCTGGGATTAAGAAACTCCTGGTGTCTTAGAGACTCTCTGTCCACCTGCACTCTTGTAAAAACAAGTATRTTTTAACAGGGTCTGTAATTGCATTGCATCTCTGTTTTTAAACGCTCTACTCTTAAGGCTTCCTCTGCCCTCAGAGATGGCGGCACAAAAACAATAAAATAGCAAACATGTGAACTTGATAGTTCTTGAGCTGTGTATGTTTACTGTTTAGTGGTGAGAGCAATGTTTCTGAAAGACTTCATGTTGCTGTCTAATTGTGAAGGTTTTTAGTCTCTATCCTGTCGAAAATATGTGCATGAATATGTAAATGGTAGTAGCAAATTGGGAGCATAGTACTTGGAACTAAAGTAGAGCCTTGTAAAATTTCGACAACGTATGAAAGAGCCATTTGTTCTTCTCCTTGTAGAACATCATGTAGCAACTATAACTTTACAAATGTTTATTATCAAATAATTACTCTAAGACGAATGATACAATGCTTCACTTTCCATCAATAAATTAGACTARAGATCTAAAGGTAATGCCAGTCACGGTGCGCCCCTGAGGGGATATACTAAAACTAAGATATATTTGGGGATACTGCTATTTTGTTCCCCTGTACACAAATTCAGCCGCTGGTGAAGGGTATCAAAACTAAGCAGCTTCTCAATTTCTGATTATTTAATCACTATAGTCGTCTGAGACAGGAGATTCACCTCCACCGTTGTTGCCTATCCTATTTGGTGAACAATCCGACTCCTCGCTCGTATCGACATCTAACTCCAAATCATCGTTTCCTGCCTCTTCAGTGCCATTGTAGTCCTCAGATAAATCCACATCCTCATCACTAGCTATCCCTAAATCACCATTCCATCTGTTGGAGGTGCCGTCAAAACCAAAGTCCCAACTCCCTCGCTCATACCCAACTGCATGGGCATCGTCGTCAGAGTCCATTGGTTCTACGTTGTTTACATTCTCCTCATTCTCCTCGTTCTCCTCATCTTCCAAAACATTCTCCTCATCTTCCAAAACGTTCTCTTCATCTTCCATATCTACGAATCCATCAATCTTTTCATCCTCCCATTCACCAATAAAATCTTTTGGTGATTCATCTCTATTCTGAGTACTACTAGGCACTATGCCCAACAAACCTTCATCTTGAATGCTCTTCTCAGCCCTTCTCTTCCTTACCGTTCGGCGGCCCCGTACGCCCATAACCTGTGTTCCTTGTCCTAATTGCCTTGGTCCTTGATTCATTTTCTCATTACTCTTGACATGTTGCCGGACACGGCCAGATTTAGAACCATTAACCTTTTTCTGCCACCTTCTACGACGTCCATGATCTCGACTCCCTCGGCCACGTTTGTAGCTGTTCCTCGAACTCTTTGGATCAGCTGAGTTCTCTTTCTTCATCAGATCATCATAGTCCAGTTCATTCAGTTTATTCCGTTCATCATTCTTGACCTGAACATATCTACTGGGAAAGTTCTGCATTGAGAAACAAATAAATCAGTTATGAAGGATAATAACACGCTTCTGGTATCAAGCACATATTCTGACCAAGAACAAATTAAACATGTATCAATTAATAGTTGGGTTTCTTTTAACTCCAACCTTTTTTTCAAGATAGATAACAGTAATTCCTGCAATAAGCAAAAAGAGAAGAAATAGCATACCATATATTCTCCAGTTTCCTTGTACTGATCAGGCTCTGGTTTCTCACACCCGATATAATAMATCGATGCATCTACCTCAAAAAGCCTCAAAGCAAGAGCTGCACTCGTCCGTGGAATCCATGGTAACGTAAGAACAGACCCAACATCTGATTGGTCATGTATAACATTCCCAGAGACGGAACAAGAGCTCAGGTGCTCGTCTGTCGTAGTAAAGTCTGATTTTAGAAAATCTCGCTTAATTACACTTTCAAACAGGGTCAATATCTGTAGCATACACGAACATGAGTTAACAGGTAAAACTTCATCGTTCAAAGAATAGCGAGAACARAAAAACTAGACAAATATAAGTAGACTTGATATGAATAGACTCGGAATCCAATTACATAGTACAGGAGTCCATCAGGTGAGCATACTGCACTATACACATTATACACGATACTAGAGTTTGAATATGAACTCCAAGTTTACTGGCAGTATTACATGGGCATTCACATTCTGTCAAACAGCAACAAATGATAAACATGCATGTGYGGTAATGCAGAATTAATCAATCACCGACTTCAAGCATCTGATTGATGTTGAAAAGAAAACTTATAAATGATAATACAAGTTTCGGCTGGTTCAAGTATTTTTTTTAAATGAGAAATCATGCTTTCACTGAGGAAAAAATGAAAGAATACAAGCACATATAAAAAAATACARCCAAAATAAAAAAGGAGCCAAACTAAACCTCCAATCAAGCACAATCAAACCTAAGGGATAATTACAACAGCCCTTAAGCACCAAAGCTAACGAGATAAAATATCCTCCAAAGATCTCTCGATCTTGCTGGTTCAAGTACATGTGCTAAGTGCAAACAAATTACTGTGATAGAAATAGTAGGAGATAGCCAAATCATGGCACATGCAACCCAGATTATAACGAGGAGAGGGTTTATGGAAGAATCAGATAACCARCAGTTTAGAAGACCAAGGGTTAGAAGTGAAACAACTTAATGGTGAGCTGAGCTCAACAATTGAAAATGCCGAAATACCTGTAGCAGCTCTTCAATGGATGATGACATGTCCATCCTGACACCCCAATTTTTCCTACGTTCTGTCCAAAACGAGAGAAAAGCTTCTGACGGAACATGTGCCTGTGGACAAGTAACTCCTAATGAAAACCAAGTCCAGATAAAGGTAAAGGCAGCTAAAAATGGAGGCATAAGCCTTCAAATCTGAAAATGAAATAGGAATTATGTTGAAAAAGGCCTTTATGGTTATTGCTTCTCACCTCAATGACAGCTAAGACGGCCTTGACCAATCTACTTTTGAGGGGAAGAGATGCATCTAAAGTGTGTGTATCCCAATGGTAAGACTTCCTTTCCCTCTCACAGTGAAGTTTGTGTTCAAAAAAATTAATATCATTCCCACTAGTGTCAAAAGTTTGATGGCATGAAGTGCAGTGAGAATGTTCAGAATCGAACAAGCACAAACAAAAATCACAAATGTCCAACAGCTGTGTGCACCTTTTTTCTCCAAATTTCATGGCACATAATGTTGCTGTGTTAAAGCTCTCTCTTAACATCCACCTCTGCAAGTCTTGATACCTTCTAAATGCAGCCTTCTTTTCATTTTCATTTCTCCCAAGCTCAATTCTGAATGAAGATGATGTTACCATCGTATCCAAATTTAAACCACAAACAGTACTGCTAGGACTGTTAAACACAGTGTTGCAATCAGGACTAGAACTGGATTCATCATTTTCATTTTTAGGAGTAGTTCCACTTTGAACCAAAAAATTGGCACACTGCAGATTCCTTCGAACATTTTCCTTAAAGGATGTCTCTATCATTTGCAACATTATGCGTAGGTGTGACTCTCTAACCCCACGTGTGTCCAAAGCCATCGAAAGAGCATCAAAGTCCTACAAATCAGAGGGTTTGATTAATTGCCAAGGTCACAAATAGGTTAGATATAGTCATATGGCTAACCAAAATCTTATATGACAACGACAAGATTCCAAAGCGTATGCCTAACTACCACATAACAACACAAGGAACCTTTTCTCAAATCCTGGTATACAGTAACATCTATGAACAAGTTTCATAAAGCAACCAACAATCAGAAATAGATGCCCAGTTCTTCCTCCTTAATTAACATATTCTTGCATTGATTAACCTAATGCCAAAAAAGGATCAAAGCATGTACGTAACAACAAATTGCTTCCAATAGACTAATGCCTGATCTTTAACTATTCTAGTGTCGCAGAAGTTCCCATTATGGTAAGCAATATTCAACTGCGCAGAGAAAATCCTGGTTCCAATAGCTGAAATAATAAACGGAACAGAACATTCCAGGAAACGGAAATTGATTAATGCAATGAGTTAGTAGTGGGCAATCAATATATGTCCCCACCTCTTTAAAAATGGGAAAAAGAAACTAAGATGAACAGGATATTATATAAAATAAACCTAGCACAACAGAAATAGTACCTACCTCTTCAGAATCAATAAGCCTCCATTTTCCATCATACATTTCAACGAATATTCTCCCAGAACCGGGATCGTTGCTTGAAGAAGACGCAACAAATTGCCAGTATCGATTACGCCTACGATCTCGACCAAGTGGCAGGGACCTATATGTGTACATCTCTTCAGCTCTATGGGCAATATAGGATTTTAACTGTGAGCGTGACCTCTTTGAAGCATGTCCATATTGATGAGACAAACAGTTATCTGGCCCCGGGAAAAGATCTGCCACTAAAGTAGCCCTCTCATTAGGCACACTACCAAGGTTTTCTGCAGTGCTTGGGATTGTTTCATTGTTCTTGTTSTCAGCAACAGGTAATGGGCTTTGACCACCCTCCATAGTGGAACCATTAAGTTCAGTTTCCACCTTGCTCACCATGTGGATTGGAAAATCAGATTTATTGATGATCTCTTCTTTTAGGCGAGATTTATCAATCTGTGCCTCTGCCAACATTTGCTTCTTAACAGCATTTGCAGCTTCCAAACGGTCCTATATAAACCATTATTATTAAAATCAAGATCCTCCAATAAAAATGGATCCAAAACATTTAATAACTATCATAAAGAAATTCCATACATCAAACTAGAAGCAACATTTACCTCTAGAACAAGGCGAATAGAGTTTCCTTCATTTGCAATGCTGGTTAAGACAACAAGGGCATTCAGGCGCTCCTCAACACTAAGATCATGATACTCACCTTCTGTAAGTCCTTGAATCCATGATTCACCTTCCTTGCTTTCATCAATCTCCATATTCTCTTGATCGAGATCACTGGTAGTAGTCTCATCAACAGCAGCATATTGCTCTGTAGTTATATCCAAATATTTTACGTCCTTGGAACCACTTAGGGGGGAGGATGATAGATCCTTGACACCTTCATTTTGTGAATTTCCAACAATAACGTGACATGAGTTCTCATTCTCAACTTCTAAGTTAGTATCTCCTTTGTTAACATCTTCATTCATCAAAGCTGTCGTTGCTAAATCATCAACTTCAGGATCTTCATCAACATCATCACATTCAGATTCTTCGTCTCTTTCAACGTCATCAGCATCTTCTCCAGCTAAAAACCCATTCTGAAATATCTGAATTTTCTTTCTAGCTACAGAAAGTATTTCCTCGGCATCATCTGGATCCTTCCTGTAGGGAGCTCGTACACGATATGTGGAAGGAGCTATTCTTTCAAAAAGCTTAGTATCCCTTGTCAAAGCAACAGAAATGGAAGCCTCTGGTGTTTTGCTTGTAGACAGATCCCTAAGCCCAGATCTCTACACAATTGATTTGAGCGTAAGGTTTCTTTATCAAAATTAGACAACCAAACAGGCATAGTATCAAATTCTCATTCAACAAAAATAATAGGCTCACCTGTATCTTGTCTGCAAGTTCTAGTACTGTTAACCCCTCACTTCCTTCTAGTGAAAGGACATGAAAAGCAGCAAATTTGACAGTTCCAGGAGTTAGCCGATGCCTAGATCTTCGTGGAGCTAGCAAACCTTTCTCTTGCATGATAGCAAATGCATTTTCAGCAGCTGAACCATTGCGAAGAGTAGACACTACGTCCTCACCGCATTTAGCCTACAAATCAAGTCTAACTAAATTAAAAAAACATGACAGTTTAAAATGTCCCGTTTGAATCTGATAAATCGTTCATGCACTAACAGAAGGTCCAATTTAATAATAATATGAGGGAAATTTATGAACAGGCGTCACCCTGGAATCAAGAACTTGTAGCTGATGTAAAAGGTCTACCAAGAATCCAAGATACATTTTTTATATCTGTGTGTCTAGGCCAGCTTGTGTGTCTAGGTGTGTCTAGGCCAGCTTGTGTGTCTAGGCCAGCTTGCGTACACCTTCACTAATTACCGGACAACCACCTTACCCTACTACATTTGGTTGTCAAATAAACTTGTAGGATATTAAGTCCTAGTAGGTGGACACATCCCTCTCTTCTTTAAGCTCTTTACTATTTAAGTGGTCTTTATTGACCACTAGGCCAACTCATGATGGTTACCAAGAAAATTTTCTATTAACAATTGAATTAAACAACAGCCCCTTCACTATTTACAGTAGCATCCCCCTACTAGCTTGCTGACATTTCCACTTAAGGACAATAAATTGTCTGGTAATGAAGTACAAAAATTAGTTCGACTCCATGCAAGTAATTGGCCCRTGCTAAATAATTGAAAAATAGACCTCGTCATTGCCATGCATTTCAGGCCATGCCAAACTCCTCTTCTTCAACTGTGGTCCAAAGCCAGCTGACAATGCTAATTGTCGAAATATTTCAGGCCATGTTAACGTGTTTAAATGTTTCTGCCAGTTGCAAATGTCAAACCCCCATGCATATGCCTGACACAGAAAACAAATGTCAAATGGTTCTGAAAAAATACAAAGAGAATCATATTAATATGTACAAACTATTTATATTATTCAAATTACCCCCTCCACAATCTGCGGATGTCCACCTCCAGTGTTGGCAACACCATTCTGATTTATTCCCAATCCAGTAGAAGGTGTTCTTGCTACATCTTCAATATCTTTTACAATCAGTCTCAGGAGACAAATGTGAATCTCACCTAGTAATCTTGAATCCTAGAATTGAAGTTAAGAAGGGTGTCAGAGTGGTTAAGAAGCAAACTTGAAAACAATTTATTAGGGAGAAAATGTCCCCATGGATGACTCACATAGTCATGAAGAGCTTGAACAAACTCATCAAGTGTAAAGGGCCATAGCTCTAGAACATCAGAAAATGTGATAAAAAATCTCCACACCTGGAAAACAACTTCAAAATATGTAAGTGTCCATTTATTCTCTAAAAAAGATGCTCCAGATACAAATTGGAAAACTTCTTGCAAGTCGTTTGCCACTTGCCAGAATAAATGCTAATAACATGAAGTATAATTGATGCAAAATAAACTACAAGTTACATGGAGGCACAGAAACGAATAACTCGAAGTGCTAACAGGGGATCAACAGCATCTTGGAAATAGTTGACATGTCAATGCACAATTGTGTAATCAAACAACATCCTTAATCCCCGATAAAGTTCTTTATTCGGAATTAAGTGAGACATAGAACTCCAAAACTTTTCTAAAGAACAAATGATGAAATGTTACACTTGTGTATTTTAAGAGAATACGTTAGCACTTAACTGCAAACATGCAACTCTTAAATTAGAAGGCATGCATACAAGTGAATGGCCCAGAAAATTCATATTCTACAGAAGACTAGGAAGTGGATTTAAACAAGCAAAGGAGTACAAGATAACCTTCAACAGCTAATGGATAAAAATCACCATGAGCCAACAACCCTACCATTCCTCTTAAAATGCTTATCGAATTATACAAAGAAAAAGGAGGCTTTGAGACGTACCATGAGAAGGTTACCAATGTTCTCCTCTGAATTGATCCAAGGTTGAATGCTGAAAGGTATTTTCAATTGCACAGACTTGGGTGGAAATGCAACTAGATAATCTGAAAATAATATGTTAACAGCTGACAGTAAGATTCAGAAAACTACAAATAATAATAATAATTAGATATTATGGGCAAACGGGATCATRAGTGCTTAAAGCGTCTTACCATAAGAACAAAAAAAWTTTGGTGTAGGTAAAATAGGAGTAATCTAATTTGTCATTTTTCATGAACTAATTCGTAGACAAATTTCAAATATACAAATTAACTGGGTTTTGGATATATACTTTACTCATTTGGACATACAAAGTAATTGGGGGAAAAGGAATTGACGTGAAGGATTTTCTCAATTTTTATTAATAACTACAAGTTTTTAAGCTAACTAACATAGTAACATGCAACACCATTGAGCTCACAGGACTGCTTACCAAGTACCACCTAATCGAAAATATTGGAACTTAGAAAGGGAAAAAGATATAAATATCTCAAACAGGTGGCCACTCGAAAACAATGCCAACCTCTGAATGATTCAAGATTCTGCAGAGTATCATGATCAAGACTTAATATTGAGGATAATCCTTTGTTTGCAGCCGCCAGTTCCATAAGTTCAAGTTGTTCGTCCTCAATAAGCTCCATAGACTCACGGGCAATTCTACGAGCAGTAGCCTTCTCTATTGCGGCTTTGCGTCTCACTGCTTCCTTTTCTTTTCGAAGTGCTTCTTTTTGCCTCCTTTTCTCAGCCTAAAGTTAAAGCAAAGTGATAGTGAGCAAGGATAACTTATTACCCATTTAATAATTTCCTTAAGAACCTAGCAGCTGAGGAGAAAAAAGAATTAAACCTAATCCTACCCTCAAATATTCCCTCTGCAGAAACTTTTCCCTCCGTTCATGTTCACGTCTTTCCTCACGCTTCAATCTCTCCGCTTCCCGCTGCTTCTCTCGCAGTAACCTCTCCTCTTCTCTCCTCCTTTCGCGATCTTGCTTTTCCATCTCTTTCCTCATTCGTTCTTCACTCTACCAACAAAGTTTCATACTTAGAATTAAAAGTTATTGCTTTCCTAAGAAAAGTTTCTTCCAATTTTTCTCAGAAAAACAGCGTACATATTGTAAGCACAATTTTTATTTAAAAAAAAAAACCTTTTTCCTCAAAATATCCTGTTTCTCAAGCTCTTTTCGCATTCTTATCTCATGGGCTTCAGCTTCTTTGTTCATACGAGCTTCATCACTCTGCAGAAGGAAACACAAGAAATAATAAAATCCCAACTCCACATTCACATAAAAAATATCCCAGTGTCTTTTGAGTGCTTCAGGAGTACCTTGCGTTTCCTTTCCATCCTAATGATGACATCGTTTGGAAAARCATGCCCATCAGGCAATACATATTGATTTTCTGGTCCAACAATTGAGTGATCAGTAAACTGAGAATTCATTCTGATACTTGCAAAAGAATCCCTTGCAGGGACAAATGCGCTATCTTCAGCAGGAGGTGGAATGGTAACACCTTGCTTCTCCTGTTGAGGTAAGAGTCGAACCCTTGAGACCTGACCATGGTAATTATGGCTCCTGTTCAATTGTTCATGACCAAGCAAAAATGATGGTGTCCTTCCTGCTGAAACCTCGACTAATGAATCTGGATAATGTGATTGGGCAACTGGTCCATAAGCATCAGCTCTAAGATTAGACTGGTCCGGAAGAAATGAATATTCAGGAAATGCCCTTGTAGTTGCCTGCACAAAATTCCATCCCATTTCAACATGATAAACCAGAAGAATTAGATAGCACACGTTAAATCATTTCAACTAGTAAATAATATATTAACTCAATAAAACATTTGAGAATGACCAGGATGCGTATAAAACATGACCAGTATGCATATACAATAAAATACATTATTAATTTCTCTTTCCACCTTCTATAAGGATTTTTGTGCTAGTTGTTTGGAGGTGGTGTTCTACCAGCTGTTTAGGGAGAAGGGAGGAACTCACCGTTAAGGAGCATGGGAGGAGCCCTATGGAGGATAACCTCTCTTACATCTTGTGGAACATTTTGCTCAATAGGGGAATATTTAGGGGGTCAAGAGTGTTTTGGGAGGTGGACTACAACATCTCCCTTAGGCCATATGCTACCAAAGAGTTTTGTAACTATCCCTCATCTCTTGTCCTGGACAATTAAAGACCTTTGTTTTCTTTTTTCCCATTTTTTTATTTAAGCTCCTTTTTAGGTGGCCTTTTTTTATTAGAAAAAAATAGATCATGCATATTCTTCTATTTTTTCTTAACGAAAATTTGGTTTCTTATAAATTTAAAAAATATAATAATAATTAAAAAAAAAGGTTTCTAGAGTAGCCATTAGCGGAGCTGAAAAATATATAGTACAACTGCCAATGTTTTCAAAAGCATAAGCGGCACTGTAGTAACTCTCTAGGGCTTAAGTGCAAGCGGCAAAAAATGGGAGGGCTTTTTTGTGAAGAATGAGCACCCAATAGAAAATTTTCAACGTAAATTATATAGATAAAAAATAAAACATTAGGAATAGCCRAGATAGAGAGAATATGAGAAAATTAAGCCCTAAAATAAAAACTAAATATTTGTAGCAATAACTTTATACTTGATCAGTAGTAACATTAAAACTGATAAATCAATATTCTAGTTTCTACAACAACTGTTATGGTTACATCCCGGAAACAGAGTATAAATCTTAGAACATTTACTACATGAAAGAATTACAGCATAAAACAGGAAACTTTAAAAGCCGTCCAGCAAGTGGGTGTGAGATATTGAGGGGAAAGAAACACAGCTATGAGTATATAACTGAAGATTTTCACAAGAGAAAGGAAAAATTTTGGGGGAAAAAATGAATTGAAAAATCAAGAGGAAATATTTAAAAAATCAAGGATGAATCACCATGTCCCCATTGGGTAGAAATGCTAACAATAAAAACGCAGAGCATTAAATGAACAAAGTAGACTAACTTTATTTGATTTTGCATCCCGTTGTTCATATTTGTCTCCATACGAATGTGCAGATCGCTTCTGCTGTTCTGCCACTGTTTTATCACAATAAGAAACTAAAATGGTCAGTCAATAGCAGTATCATCAAGGATAAGCAATTCAAGAATATTGTTGTAGTTTAGTATCAGGTCATAGTGTAATACTCAAGAAGATAATAACATTCTTGTAGGAAATCCGGATCACAATGGAGTACGACTAATGCAAATAAAGATATTTGAGATATGTCAAAACAAATACAACGAACCAAGTAATTCTTTTCACACAGTTATTATCCATGGTTATTATCCATGAAAGAAAAAATTTATGGCAAACTTTTATTTTCCAGTATATCAAAACCACAAAGGAAAAGAAAATTCCTTGGGAGCACTTTATCATAGCCTTTTTTTGGATAACATGGAGGGAACGAAACAACTGAACTTTCACCCCGAAAGATCTTCCCTACGAGAGGATTTTTGAATTGATAGTCTTTTTGGTCATATCTTGGAGCAAATGTTCTCCCCTTTTTCACCATTATAGTTTTACTTCCCTTTTAATCAATTGGAACCCAGAGAGTACAAAAGTAGCAAATGGGGCATTAGCGCCTGAAGACGAACAATTAAGATACAAAAATGAAGTAGAATAACGGGCCATKAATGCCAATCCAATGATCCCCAAAAAATCGAACACGGGTCTCACCTCTAACTAAGAAAGAAACAATCTACGTGTATATTCTTTCATTTTTTCTTGATAGAAGCTTCAAGCAATCTAACTATCTAAACAAAGAGAGACCATTTAAGATACTACTTTCCACAAATTTCGCTATGAACCATCTTGGAGTCCCACCAGCAAGCCTGTAATCCATATCAACTCACAAGTCACATTTACCTTATACCACAAGAATCAGGTTCTAGAGGAAAACATCAATACCATTAAGCCTGTAAAGCATTGTTCTTTTCTTTATAACTAGGTTACCAACAACAAGAACTATTTGCTTAACCCCTTTTTAACACCACCCCAATGGACCATACATGGCCCTCCTTCCTCAGAACCCTCCAACCCCACAAAAAATCTATCATCAGGTAGCAAAAGTCTTTCCCTCAGGTTACGACTGACAAGGAAAGAAAATAAAACAATTTCAAGCAATTACAACCCAAAATGCCATTAGCGCACAAGCCATTTTTTCCAGAGGACCTTGTTCAGAAATTCCTAGTCTACGTAATCATAGTCATAGGTCTTTTAAAGATTTCTTTTTTTTTTATAACCGGAAGTCGGACCTTAGCTCCCCTATACCCAGGAGCGGGTCCTGTCCCAATGTCCGGACCTGGAAGGCATCMAGAGTTTTTAGTATTAAGCTCACCAAAAGGTTTGAATTTGAGACCTCYAAGCCAGTATGACCAAGAGRCCCAAAGTCTTTGCCAACTAGGCTGTTCCTTGGCGGCTTTTAAAGATTAATTTGGAAAGTAATCCCTTCTTGTTTATGAGATCAATAATCCTCCATAGCCTTGTCCGTAATGAAAACCATCTAGAATCTATCTCTATGCCACAAGGGCCACACTTGGCAAGAGGGAGACTGTAAAAGGAACCACCACCCTCAATATCTTGGCCAACTCATACGAGACAATCTTACAAAGGCCGGCAACTAAACTAATGTGCCTAAAATCCTTCAAATATGATGTCTTTGTCCAAGACTTCTTGGGGGAAGAAAAATAAAGGTTTCACTCGTAAATGAATCAATTATGCCCCTCTCATAAAAATTTATGAGAACTTRAAGTATGTCCTCTCCCACAACCTCCCAATTAAACCAAATTCTAGGAGAACATTAAGCTAAGTCCTATTTCAAAACCCCCTAATTACAATTAGACCATCAGGGTCAGGTGCTTCATTCTCATTGCTTATCAAACTGATTTGACTTACCACATCAGGGGGGCAGCGTCTAATCTAATGCAAGAGAAGCTAAACATATTGCTATATCATAATTGATACTTAATACAGCCTTAATTAGGATTAGAACTATTAAACGAATACTAAAAATTGGGACTGAAACAGGAAAATAAATGTTATCTTCTTCTTTTGGTCCTCATTGTACACTCTGATCCATGATTTATGCCAATTGAAGTTCTTTAAGTAACTCCTTTGGCTTTTCWAGAGTTTTTGTCCTCTTTAATATATATAAAGAAAAAATGATACTAAAATTTCCATAAACATGCAGTCGAAATTTTTAAGAAGAATGGTTTAAGGAAGTTTTTTTTTTCAGAAAATTCAGCCATACCTATGGGTGCACCGAAAGCATCAGGTGGTAATGGATCAAATTCAATCCCAAGAATAGGTCCGTCCTCCCTCAATGGCTCTCCTAACTGCGACTCCACGCAAGCAATAGCTCTATGTTCCATAACAGACCGTGAAGGCTCATAATACCTTCTCATCGGTGGCATATCGTCACCAACACTTCTAGGTACCACATTGCGCAACCCAACGTCACCGAATGGGCTTGAACCTGACCCCGACCCTGAAGCGTAATCACTACCTGGCTCGGCCACCACTCTCARTTCATCAATGGGAGAGTCGGGCAACGCCGGTGCCACCATCTTTCGCGGTTTCTTCGCCGGTTCCTTTTTGTCCTTCAGCCTCCTGTGACAAAACCACATCTGCAATTGCCGATCGGTGAGCCCCAATTTCTCCGACAGTTCAGCCCTCGTCGACTCTGATGGGTACGTCTCCACTGATCAAATCAATCAAACACAACAAAATCAGAATACCAGAAGTAAACAGCGACCGTAAACCCCAAAAGGAAAAAAAAAAAACAAAATTGAAAGAAATAAAGAAGAAAGTTATGTGGACGAACAAGCATAGGCTTTCTCGAGGGTTTCAAGCTGAAACGGAGTCTTCATCTGGCGCTTGGGCTTGCTAAGACCCTCACTTGAGTTACTAATTTTGTTAATATTATCATTATTCTGGTTGTGATTCTCCCCGTCCGAAGCAGCAGCTTCCATCGAATTCGAAGGTTGAAGATCGAAGAAAAGAAAAACACAGAACACCCAAACCCTAGAATCAAAAACCAAAAACACTCTTCGGAAACAAAATTGAAAAACCCGAAGCAATCGAACTACGAATTCCCCTTTCCCAACTTAACCTAAATACCGTAATAGTCAAGGAACAGAAAAGCAGTATAGAAGAATTATCATCATCGAAATCGAATAACAATAATAAAAGAATAATAAATGATGAGAAAAGAAACAAGAAATTATAGGAAAAGGCAAATTCAGGAACAAATAACCAACAGTCTCCTTTCACTCTGATCCAACCTCCCATAATTCATTCTCTTTAATTTCTTTAATTTCTTTTCTTAAAACGCTTTTTAATGAATGTCAAACAAGACTTTTCTTTTTCTTTTCTTTTCTTTTCTTTTTTCTTTTTTTTTCCTTTTAAATTTACCATTCTCCAACCCCCTCCTCTCCCCCATGTGCTCTTCTGAATTTTGATGAACTTTTAAGTTAGGTTCTTCGATGTATATATATTATTTTTCTTTTCTTTTTTTTTTCCTCCCCCATTTTCTTTTTATTTTCCTTTTTTTAAAGCCGTGTCGGAGTTTCTAATTTCTTGGGCCTTTCGTTCTTCCAGTTCCATCCACGAACTCTAGTTTGCAATCATGGGTTCCAAGTTTGCTTATTATTATTTTGGCCCCTTTGCTACCCAACGTCGCTGATTGGTCATTTATGGGTTTAATTTTTTTTTTCTTTTCCAATTTTAAACCTGACGTGGATAGTTACTGGGATGGTGGGTGATTTAATATTTATAAATATTTTATGTCTTTTAGTTTCTCTTGCCTTTGGAATAAAAAAGTTCAGTGATTTTTTTAAATCGTTGAAATCCTATAAATTATTTCAATTTTTTTATACTTCAATGGATGTTAGTTAAATAAATATATATATATATATATATATATATTTACAGAATGTTGTTTAAGTCTTTTAAATATTTTATTTATTAATAGAAGTTTGCGGAAACTTACCTCACAGTTAATGAAAGGGAGAAGAAAAAACTCTGAAATCCGTCAATACAATTTTGAAATCATTCAAGTATTGGAGAAATGTTAAGAGTATTTGACTATTGTTTTTTGGAGGTAACTGTCAAACCTCCCTTTGATTTCACAATTGTTTTTCTGGTATTTGACTAACTTGTATAATTATTTTCCATTAAGTAGGTTTTGCATTGAAAAAACAACTATTGTTTCTATGATAAAACTAATTAAAAKCTGAAAAAATATTTATAATGTCTACGTTGAAGCTAATTATCGTTTATCTATCTTGTTATGGATCCCACATTGAAAAGAGGAGGGAGCTTTATAAACAACAGTTACTCATCTCATTGTCAATTGTTTTTTAGATGGAACTCCATTAATATTAATATGGTATCAGAGCCTAAAATGCCCAAATGAGCATCCGGTCAAAATCGATAAGACTAATTTATGTAATTATTTCTCATTCTCTCATGTGTCAAAAAATATATTTAAGTTGTGAAGTAAAAGTATTATCCATATTTTATAAAGAAAATTTGAGATTCAAAAGGCGGAAAAAATATGATGGCCAAGGAATGTAAAGCAAACAAAATTATCATGTCAAGTAGACTAAATTATCTCTCTTCCAGAGACAATTTAGTGATGCACAAATTTAATATGAGTTGTTTTTAAAATTAGTTTTAAAAAGAGTAAGATTAAAAAAAACTCACTTTTTTTAAAAACAATTTAAATATAACAACTGTATTTTTAAAAACTATAAAGTATTTAGGTTTGGTAAAGTGGTTTATTTTACCAGTAATCTACCTTGTTCAACTCGATCTCTCACTGACTTCTTTAATTAAAAGGTCAAAACGAACATAAATCAACAACGATATATATCTCCAATCTTATCTCTAATCAAAAGATTGAATTTTTTATTAGATCTCCAACGTGTTGTACTACAAAATTGAAGACTTCACATYTATTTAAAAACTAAGCCCTTGTTTATATTATCTTATGAAGAAAAATCTACATCATTCAAATTTGTCGGTTCACAAAATCTAAAGTTTAAATCGAGTCTCGATCAATTTAATCATTTATAAAAGACTTCCTATATTGGAAACATTTTAGTATATTAACACTTTAAATTTAAATAATAATAAAAATAAAAATAAAAAAATAAAACTCCATGATAATTTGAATGATTATTGAGAAGTTATTGAAAGCAAAGGTCTTGCGGTCCTTGTAGCAAGTTCCCACATAGTTTTTAAATATAAAAACTACAAAATGAGAAAGCATTGGATAATTACAAAATCAGCAAATGTCTGAGCTCAGAATCAATAAAAATTGATCGGTCATAGGAATTAGGAAAAGAATAATAACACGTACAATGCAATAGGATACATACTTCTCCCAAATAACTTTTTTTTTCTTTTCTTTTTGAAGGAATTATTTTAAAATTTACAACATCAAATCCTCCCCTCATTTCCATGCTTTCCCCTTCACCTCCAAGGCTTCTTCAAGCCACTTTTGTTCGCTGTCAAAATAATTAAACAGACTTCTGTCAAAATAATCTTTGGTAAATTAAATTAACATCCAAACGCAGTTAAAAGTTAAAACTCACTCGTTTCTCTTCTTCCATCTTTGCCTTGATGTAAGAGTAAAGTGCGACTCCTGCAATTGCAATGCTTGTTCCAATACCAGTCTGTGTTGAAATTTTGTTACCTACAAGCGCCCAAAATCCAAAGTTATTACAACATGCATAACATGGTGTTCAAGCTCATGAATAACTAAAGATGTTTTCAAGTATTACCAAAGACAATGATGGAGAAGCCAATCACAAATACACGTTTCAGCACATTTCCAACTGCATGAGTAAGCGGTGCCACCCTCTCCAGGGTGTTGGTTGCTAACTGTCAAGTAATCCATACCAAGATTGTTAATTCACTTCACACCATTCGACAACAGTACCAACAATTTGTAAGTATAACAAATCACTGTTGGGAAAAGTGGAGACAAAAGAAAGAAAGTCATTAAATATTGTTGGGTCAAGCAAACAAAATAAGGCCCAACTTTAGTTTTCCTTTCCCATTTCCCTTCTCTTCTAGAGGCTGGTGGTGGCCATTTTCATCGGTAGAGGAAGAGAGAAAAACGAGATCTTGTCCGTTCTCGTGATTCTTGTGAGGTTTTTCCTTTTGTATCCTAAGTAATTATTGTTGTAGTGTTTAGAAGCTAGGTGACTATTGTTGTAGTATCTAGAAAGTGTTTTGAGGCTCATTGTAACCTTCCCATTATAGTGGAACCTGCATATTGCAGAAGACTGGACGTAACTCCGAACTTGGAGTGAACCAGTATATTTTCTGATGTTTGTTTTCTATCCCTATCTCGTATTTCCTTTATTGTATTGATAGAACTGTGACTTGCTCATACTGTGGAAGGGAAAAATATTAGTTAGATCCTGTTGGATTGTTCTTGCTTGAGAACTAGTGATATTTTATATTACTGCATATATATATTTTTCCCAACAATCATCTCAAGAAAGAAAAAAATTATATGATTTTACCACTGAGTTATACTTGTGTTGGCAATTGAGAGATTTTCTCAAACATATATTATAAAAGTTAAAATAAAGATAAGGGTGTAAGCATTTGAGTCGATTTTTAACAAAAATGGCACCAGGTCAAACTCAAAAACTTGCTAAGAACAACGGTACCTCGAGTATCCCACATATCTCCACAATTGTATGATATTGTCCATTTTGGACATAGCCCTTATGGCTTTGCTTTTGGTTTCACCCAAAAGGCCTCGATAATTGTCCTCTCTTATATACCAATGATCATTCCCTTCCCTAACCAACGTGGAACTTTGTTTGCAATCACCTTACAAACCCAACACAACTATTGTATTGATTTTATACTTGTAGAAAATCGGACCAATCGAAATTAGTCAATTTTTTGGTTTTGGCCAGCACATGGAGTATTTGGGGTCAGAGTTTGAATTTGAGTGAATTTCACTTAAGATACCGAACTCGTAGTTGCCTTATGAGTTTGACAAGCTTGGAGTTTGTTGGACAAACTCATAAGTTTCGACGGTACCCATGTCTATTGGCCCCAAATCCACTCACTTGTATAATTAGACTTCCTAAACCTGAACCCCAAATACAAGACCTATTTTTCTTAAATATTTCATTTAAGCCTCGGGCTGAAGATGTTGAACTTGCACCCTAAATGTCGTAGAAAGAAGAGAAAACTTATGTAACATACCTGATTGTAAAGGTGATAAAACATTCCAACCCAGAAGAGATCTGAGACGAATTTGGTTAGACCAACTTTAGCTATGGCATCATTGAAACCAAATTTCAGCAGTTGAGGCCCCTCCACCTGAGAAACCACAAGACAACGTTGTAACAAATGAAGGCTCTTAGATACAAAATCTTACAACACTTCACACTTTTGGTCATCTCAAACCAAAGTCGAACTTACTATTATAGCAGGAGGAAGGCAGAAGAGGAGAGCGATGATGGAAATATAGGCGTAGACATTGGTGCTGTCCATGTCAGTCTGTAAACAAACCATGGGATCAGCTTCAGTTACAAATGGCATAGTCTAATAATAGTCGAAGTTAAGTTGAGTAGAAGATAACCATGGCTTTCTTCGAGTAAATACTTCTGTAGGTAAAAGAGATATTGGAAATCATAGCACTAATAAAGCCAGTCCAGTTGAATGAAAGCTCAGTCAAGGATGCCATCGACACACCTACATTTGATCAATCCAAACACAAATCTATAAAAAAACCAAATCACCATAAACTTCTTCTGTTCACTATATGTCAAAATGTATTAGATAACTACAAATATGAGGTAAAAAAACTCTTGTTTACCGAGGACAACAGGAGCCAATGATAGCCATAAGGTAATGGGAATGGACTGCCCCAGAATGAACTGAGAAGCCGCAGCGTTAAAGAACGGTTCCAGAGCTGAAATTGGAGAAGTTTTTTAGCGAACCGACAAACTTCAGGAACATGTTGTAAACTGAATCATTGGTAAATTTGGTGGTTTACCTTTGATCGTGTGTGTGAAAGAGACAGCAACAGCTGCGAAGGAGACGTTGCTGGTGACGTGGCCAAGTGCATGACAGAAAGCTACAGGGATCAGCAACTTCAGGAGGGTTGAGTCGATAGGCTGCATAATCCCTTGTGTTAAATAGAGAAAAAGGAGAGCCACCCATAATCCAGATCGAAGAAAGCAGCTAACTTTGGACACTTTTAGTATAAAAGATTATTTTTTTGTAATGAGATAATCGAGTTTTTATTGACAAAAATATACTGCCCAACAACAGAAGCCAAAACAAAACTTAAACTAACCGATCAAAAAAGACTCACGAATAGTTAAGACAGTATAAAAGAAAATTTGAAATCCTACAAAGTTAATTAAGGACTACGGGGAGAAGACACTTTAGAGAGTTATAATTAAGAGGTAGAAACACAGATAACTGTTAACTAATCAATTGAAATTGTATGGTGATTAACAACAAATGAACTTTGTTATTACAATCGGTTAGAAATTAGCTCTATCAAGAAGCACTGCGAGGGACGCTACTACGCTCCAAGGAAACGACTGCAAGAATAGTACAAATACAGTCTAATATTATAGAAATCAGAAAAGTAGTTATAACTTATAACAACTCTAACAATATTTAGGCAACTGTCAGCACCTATTTCTTGGTGACGACATTGACTTTTGACGAACAGAGGAGAGAAAAGTAATTTATATCAGTCAATACCCAAATATTATTCTATAACAATTATTTTTGAAACATTGTATCATTTCTTTTATAAAAATACATATTTACAAAAAAACTTTAAAAATAATATTATTTATAAAACTTTCCACTAGTGGGTAAGCTAGTCATTACTCACTTGTGTTTGCAGTATATACGAATATCTTTCATACGAAACATGAAATCAATAGAAATTGTCCTACTTGATTTTTTTTCAATCTTAAACAGGGGACGGTAGACTTGATTCAAATCTCCAACTTCTAAAGAGGTAAATAATGCCTTGATCAATATGCACACACCATCATTTTGATCTCATTCTACTTTATTTAGCACATTAACATATCACATTATCGTAGCGTTGTTTGAAATATTCACTCTATCCAAGTTTATAAATTTATATTTACATGTCTTAAAAAATTATTGTCATATTTGTACAAATGTGTGTAAATAAAGCAGTGCGCAAGGGCTCGAATCCAATATCTCTTTTCAATCAAAATATTATTTTCCTGAGCTATCTTTAAACAGAACTATTTTCTAAAAATTAGTTGGTTTGCAAGCATAAACATTAAAAAAAAGGGGAAAAAAAAGACGATGAATGAATAATAAAATTAACC